ACTTGGTGCAAACTTCTTTCTGTTCGAGCCCATTGCTTTCTGGCTTTCAATGAGATGATGCAATTTGGTTTCTGTTCTTCACATGGCTCAATTTCCTTGCACGTGGGCCCGTGTCGGGTTTGCTGACGTCCTCCGCCCAGGCACGTGTCGCTGTATTGACCAATTCTTTGCACACCAGATTTCAGGAGGCGGGACACTTTTCTGACTCGAAGGAACATGATAGAAAGTTTTGAGAATCTTACGGATTGATTGTTGAACCAAATAACTCGGCAGTGTAAGAAGCAAAGGGGTAGAACTTACGTGTGATGACTTTGTTAAGAGGCCTGCCATGTACCTGGTCCATGTCTATGCCAAAAGTATGGGCAAAGACACTATCCGCATGGTGCTGTTGTGTATCCAATACCCCTCAACTCTGCATCATCCATCCTAGAGCCCTTTCCCATCCCAGGAACATCCATTCTGCCATTCTGCAAGTGGCCTTTGATTTTCTCCACCGCACTTGCCTCTAACCCTAGCACTGTGTGCTCTCACCTCTCTCCCTATATGTTACGTTCCACATCGTCTGTTCCAATCTGGTGTACCTGCGCCTTTTGACTTGTTTATTCGAAGAAAATAAAAGCAAGACATGCTAGACATCAAGTCCAGCAAGGCAGGGACCACGGCCTCACTTGACTGCTGTCCCTATGAAGGTCAGCTTGGTTCTGTAAGTACCAGCTGGGAATGCAGCAGCTCGATTCTGCAGAGTGGAGATGAGCGAGTAAGGATTCTGTTTTGCCAGTAATGTGACCCAACTTGCGTCCAATAGACTCCGACAACCTTCGCTGGTTATAACCACTGACTTACCGTGAGGGCACGGGTGCGCAGCCTGTAGTTTCTGTTGATGTGGTTTGCCATGTTCGCTATACACAACTCCAAGACTTTATATGTGTGTGTGTGTGTGTGTGTGTGTGTGTGTGTGTGTGTGTGTTCGGAAATGATCTCACGGCGCATCTGCCATGCTATTCCACTCTTTCAGTGGTACACCAGGTCCACCCATAGCCCATCACGCGCCGTTTTAACTGCCACCCATCCATGCTACCTTGCCAGCTTAAAATGACAGTCCACACGCAAACAAACCAAACAGGCAAACCACTGCTGCCACTTTACTTCTCTGAAGCTACCTCATACATCCGTTGCTAACCACAACCAGTTTCCCAAGTCCCACATAGGATGGAGGGCATGGGGGAGGCGGGAGGACAGATGACACACAACTACACCAAGCAGGCAATGAAAAGGCATGACATGATAAGGCATGGGATGACAAGCAACAGCG